CCGTACCATTATCACTATGCAAAATACTTATCTTAGTTTGAAATTGATTTTCCACCATTTTATAGAAATCCATAAACAATTTCTTGACCTCAGATTTTTCACTCATTAGATATACCCAACTTAGTCTAGTGTGGTCATCTATAAAGGTAACAAACCATTTTCCCCTAGAAAGAGTAGTAATTTTTTAAGGACCCCACACATCGCTATGAATTAAATAGAAGGGTTTAGAAGCATGATAAGGTTTTGACTTATAAGGAATTCTATGGCTTTTTTATACTTGACAACTTTCACAAAATAAGATACTACAATCAACATTGTGAAAAAGTTTTGGAAATAGATGTTTCATATATGGAAAACTAGGATGTCCTAGTCTTTGATGCCATAACATTATTTGATCAAAAACAGAAGTAGAACTACTAACATTACTTAAGCTAAAAGCTTGTTTATTCTTAGTGAGATTGTCATTGAAGTAATAGAGTCCATCCACCATTTTAGCACTGCCAATCATCGTCCCCAAATTCTGGTCCTGAAATTCACAATGTGACTCAAAGAAGGTGACAAGACAATTATAATCTTTAGAAAGCTTACTAACATAAAGCAAATTGCAAGATAATCTTGGAACATGTAGGATAGATTTTAGTTCAATGGTGTTGGAGAGTTTAATTGAGCCTTTGCCAACAATTGTTCAAAGGCTTCCATCAGCAATCTTTACCTTTTGATTTCCCAAACATGGTATATAGGAGTCAAAGAGCTGACTGGCACTGGTCATATGATCAGAAGCTCCTGAATCTATGATCCAAGGAATTGTAGTAAGTTTACAAGAAAAGGCACTAGGAATATCACATGTTTGTGCTAAGGACACGCTGGAAACACTAGGTGGCTGGCTGGAATTCAGCAATTTAAGAAGCTGATCAACTTGCTCCTTGGTAAAAATTTGGTCAACCTTCTCGGCTTCATTGGTTGATAGGACTCCACGACCACGTTTTTCACTGTTTCTTGTGCTCTTCCAATCTGTAGGTTTCCCATTGAGTTTTCAGCAGTTTTCTCGAGTATGGCATGGTTTTTTACAATAGTCACACCACAGCTGAGGACGATCATGGTTCTGTTCTTGAGTCTTGACACGTGCAGCATTGGTATCAGCAACAATAAGGGTCGAGTTTTCAACAGTTCCAGCAGTCCCTTTCTTCCCCAACATGACTCCTCGATGACTCTCTTCACGTCGGACCTCCGAGAAGACTTCTCCAATAGATGGCAGTGGCTATCTACCAATAATTCTACCCCGTACTTTATTAAACTCCATGTTCAGGCCAGCAAGGAATTTGTAAATCCGAGAATTCTCCACCATTTTGTTGTAATGGGCTTGATCTTCAGTATTTTTCCACTCATAGGTGTTAAACAGATCTAGATCTTGCCAAAGTCCTTTAAGAATGTTAAAGTAATTGGTCACACCTTCACTTCCCTGTCGGATTTCTCCAAGCTTCAATTTGATCTCATAGCATTGGCATTGATTCCCAAAATCAAAGTACATTTGATTAACATTATCCTATAGCTCCTTCACGGTTGGATAACACATATAGTTTGCACCAATATCCTCCTCCATGGCATTGACAATTAATGCCATAATCATTGAGTTTTCTGCATCCCAAGTTGCATAGGAAGGGTCAGATTTCTCGGGTGCCTTGGTTTCTCCTGTTAGGTACCCAGTCTTCTCTCTGCCTCTAATATACATGTGCACGGATTGAGACCACCTAAAAAAGTTTTTTTTCATTCAACCTAATGCTGGTGATCTGGATAGAGTGTGCATCAATAGGCTTGGCAGTGGTAACAGGTGTGGTTACCGGAGTGGAATCGGAGAAAATTTATGACATGGTGACAAATGAGAAGGAATGCTACTAAAAACAAAGATTTAGAGACTAGGGTTTACAAGGTAAGAGCAACCTGGCTCTGATACCATAAAAGCTTCAGAAAAGATGAATCAAAGTTGTAAGATTTTTTCATAAAATAGACTGTACAACCTCTGGTCTTTATAGGACCGAAAAAGAGAGGAAAAAATAGTAAGAAATAACTATAGCTATTTACACCTAGATGATTTCCTTGAATAGCTATATATATATATATATATATATATATATATATATATAATATTGACTAAATTAATATTGTACAGATCTCAACTAAATCAAGGAGATTTGGTCAATTAATCAGAAAGATTATTTCCTGATTTCTGTGAATCATGTCAGGATTCTCAAAATTCCAAGGTTCAAATGCAAGAATTTATTCCAAGGTTCAGATGCAAGCAAGAAAGAGGAGAAAAGGAAACTATATATTAATATAAAGGAGTACCATAATCAAATAAGGCAGAAAGGAAATGACAACAGAATCAAAGTTCAGGATCAAAGATAAAAAGTATAATTTGCATATATTATATTGTTGCCACAAAATTATATTACAACCACCAGAAGATAGCCTCTCAGAAACCAAACATAAAGAGCGGACAAAAGCTAAGCAGCAAAAAGGTATTCATACAGCATTATGTTTCATCATGCTAGAGACGTATTTCACATTCTGCACAAGGTTTGAAGTCACTTTTGATCACCTTTGTCCAAAGAAATCACAAGTTCACAATTTGACATTCTCCATTTATGTTGGTAGATGTGCAAGCACAATGGTTCACAATTTTCTTTAGAGAAATCAACAAGTACTTTCACAAGACTTAAGATCAAGAAATTAACTAAAGACACATATAGCAAGAGTTGGCATTAATACAAAAATTTGATCAGCTTAAATGCTCTATTAAGCATTTAAAGCCTTCTGAGAAAGCACTTTCATAGTTGCCTGTCTGTTGTTGACTCATAAGTTTTCAGTCAGCATAAAACTTAACTCATTGCCACTGGAACTTTCATTCTTATAAATAGAATGAGCAATCATCCAGGTGTAGAATGAACAAGTATTGCCTCTTAACTACATGAATGTGATGAGCAACTAAGGGGATTGGTCTACCGTAGGAAGAGTAGTGGTAAGAAGCAGGGGAATATTTGCCGCAGGAGTTTAGGATTTGTTATGGGAGGACAGCTGGCCTAATAGGATTGGATGAAAGAGGAATTCTGTTAGGAGCGAAAAGGTGTCAAGAGGGAATAAAAAGGAGATGGAGAAAAGAAAGAGGATATTGAGAAAGAAGGTTAAGGTTTGGAAAGGAGGTGACTGGCCCTCGAAGTTCAGTCTTATCGTTTACTGTTTTCTTTATTATACTTAGTATTATTTTCTGTTGATTATCGTTTATTGGGCTGCTGATAGAATCATAGAACATGGCTTTTGGATGTATTATCTCTGGATGTATTGTTCTGTTGTGATATCAATATAGAGGGAGTTATTAGTTTTTTTGGTTGTGGTCATTGATTGTGAATTGTTGGATAGACTGTTTGGTGTTACTAGGTAGGGGTGGGATAAAAAATCCGAAAACCGAACCGAACCGAACTGAAAATTAGGTTTTTTTACAAACCGGTTCGGTTTTCAGTTAGTAAAATTCAAAAAACCGAAAAACCGGTTCGGTTTGAAAAAATTGCAAACCGGTTAACCGAAAACCGGTTTTACCCTACATATAAAAGCAAAATTTTTTTTTTCACTCACGCAGTCACGCTACAGGCCTACAACAGCACCATCCACATCGTCTTTCACTCTCTCAGCCTCCAGTCACCAAATCTGAAAATTTCAAGATTCAAATCTCTGCACTTCGTCTGCATCGTTCGCCATCACCCATCCACACTGTGAGCTATTTCGTCGTTCGCCAGCACCTAGCACTCCAACAAAGTCACGCCATTGTCCCACCGTGAACAGAGTCTTCTCTCCAAGCTTCGATCTGTCTAGCTTCACGTTCACAGTCAACAGATCACTCTCCAGTCAAGCCACCGTGGGGCGTGAGCAGACTCCACCGTGAGGCTTGAGCAGACCCACCCTGAAGAGACGCCACCATGAGCACTGAGCCACTGAGCAGACCCACTGTGAGCATACTCTTGAATCTTGATTTGAACAAGTTATTAGTTATATGCCATGCTATGATGCTATTTGAACTGTGGATACTCTTGAATCTTGATTTGAACTATGTCAAGCGATGGTCCACCCTGAAGTTTTTGTTTGTTGAACATAGACATAAAATAAGCATTTACATTGCATGTTGGCTGAAGTAACAACTTCTGCAAACCAGTGCAAGCAGAAAGTTGCACAATANGATAATCTAGCTAGGATTATCTTTATTTATGGTTAAATTTAAATTTAAATTCTAGATATTCCTAGATTATTTCCAAGCTCAAACTCCTTATCACTGATTTCCTACACTCTTGTATTTGGCAGGTTGTTGCAGATCCTTCTTTGACTTTAAAGCTGAGAGCTTTTATAACTGATGCTGCTCGTGCACTTGACAAAGCTAAAATGATGCGGTTTGATGAAAAAAGTGGCAACTTTTACTGTACAGAGCTTGGTCGCATTGCAAGCCATTTTTATATCCAATATTCAAGTGTTGAAACATACAACGAAATGTTGAGACGTCACATGAATGATAGTGAGGTTATGGACTACGACTGTAATACTTACAACATTTTTTCATTAATTCACTTGAATGTCTCTTTTTTGGATTATATTTCTAAATTTTTTATTATTTTATTTCTATAAAATATGGAATGCTAACAGGATATCTGGAGTCCAAAGATTTCCATTTACCAGTTCTTTGCTGAAAAGTGATTACCCTCTTTTGTTAATAACTTATTTATTATATTATGCTGCTTTGCTCTCACTACAGGTAGTTGAAATGGTTGCCCACTCTTCCGAATTTGAAAATATTGTTGTTCGTGATGAGGAGCAGAATGAGCTGGAGCAATTGGCACGTACATCATGCCCATTAGAAATCAGGGGTGGTCCTTCAAACAAACATGGAAAAATTTCAATTCTTATTCAGGTATTTACTTCTTGCAGCATTAGTGTGATGTTGTACTAGTTTCCAGTTAGAAATGATAACATATGACTACTATGTTCATGATGCAATTTTGCAGTTGTACATATCTCGTGGCTCAATTGATACCTTTTCATTGGTCTCTGATGCTGCGTATATAAGTGCAAGTTTGGCTCGTATTATGCGAGCTCTGTTTGAAATTTGTTTGCGTAAAGGCTGGTGTGAGATGTCTAAGTTCATGCTGGAATATTGCAAGGCTGTGGATCGCCAAATCTGGCCCCATCAACATGCCCTCAGACAATTTGACAGGGATCTCTCAGCAGAAGTTTGTCTAGCTTACTTTATTGACTAATTGCTTGAAACTATTTGTCATTTAATATAGCTGATGATATGTCTTAATCGGTTCAGATACTGAGGAAACTTGAAGAACGAGGGGCTGACTTAGATCGCCTGCATGAGATGGAGGAAAAAGACATTGGGGCCCTGATTCGTTATGCACCTGGGGGAAGGGTATGACCCTTTTCAATTGAATGTTGTTTTAAGATTACAAATGGCTTTGGTTTAAATAAGTTTATGTGTTTAATCAAGCCTTTTTCCTTTGGGTGATGGAAGTTGGTCAAGCAATACCTAGGCTATTTCCCATGGATCCACTTGTCAGCTACTGTAAGTCCAATTACAAGAACTGTTTTGAAGGTAACTTCATAGTGAATGACTTATTTTTTTGGCTTTTAATTCTTGGGTATTGAAGATTTCCATGTAAGGATAAGGTACTTTTTTGAAACTAACTTCCAATTCTCAGGTGGATTTGGTGATAACTCCGGACTTCACGTGGAAAGACCGTTTTCATGGTAACGCACTGCGTTGGTGGATAATAGTTGAGGTGAGTACTTGAATCTTCTGTGCTTCTTGTTAATTTTGTGAGAAGGCAGTCATATGGGTTTTGATTTAATAATAATATTCTGGATGATCCTTTACTTTTCGTGTTTACTTGTTAAATAAACAACAGTAGTTTGGGAATCTGAGTGGAAAATGTGATGTTTCTTGGTTGTACTATTCTTCTCATGTTTATTGGATTATTCTCTTTTGCATCTTATTTGGTATCTGATCCAATTTCACTATACCTGAAATGGTGTAACTCTTTGAACAGGATTCTGAGACTGATCACATCTACCACTCTGAGCTTTTTACACTGACGAAGCGAATGGCTAGAGGGGAACCTCAGAAACTTTCCTTTACTGTGCCAATATTTGAACCACATCCACCACAATATTTTATAAGAGCTGTTTCTGATTCTTGGTTGCAGGCAGAGGCATTCTACTGTATATCTTTCCAGAATCTACCTCTGCCGCAGGTATTTATGTTTATAGATGTTCGTTTACTCATTTAATTTTTTGATTTGCTGTGTCATTTTCCACTTGCCAAAGATCTTTCTTATGAGAAGCTTATGCTTCATTCAGGCTCGTACGTCACATACAGAGCTCCTAGACTTGAAACCACTTCCTGTGACTGCACTTGGCAACAATATATATGAAGCCTTATACAACTTTTCGCATTTTAATCCCATACAGACACAGGTATTATAAATTTACTCCAAGTTTTGGATATGTGATTATAGTTATTATCCACATCATTATATCTGAATTCATATTTATTTTGTTGCTTGAAAATGGCAGATTTTCCATGTCCTGTATCACACAGACAATAATGTTCTACTGGGAGCTCCCACTGGAAGTGGGAAAACTATATCTGCTGAGCTTGCTATGCTTCGTCTCTTCAATACGCAGCCTGACATGAAGGTATGAGTTATAATTTCTTATGTTCAATGTAAATGAGGTTGAATATGATGAAGCATATTAGATTTTTTTTTTTGGTTCGCACAAAGAGAGAGAGAGAGAGAGAGAGAGAGAGGACGATGAAGCCAAATTGTCAGTGTCTTATTCCAATTGATGGCACTCCTTTATATCAAGTGCTGTGTGCAACTAAAACAGAATAAATGTATTGCTTGTACAACAGTGCTATACTGCAGTAAACATCATATTGTACATGTGATAGGTGAAATATACATGTTTTAGTAAAGGGTTAGGCTATTGTAAAACAATTCTTAGCCTTTGATTCAATGGAATCCAACAGTTTGGATGAGAAGTTAGAGTTAGTTATTTTTTAATGCCAACTTAAAAGCTTCAGAAAAGATGAATCAAAGTTGTAAGATTTATTCATAAAATAGACTGTACAGCCTCTGGTCTTTATAGGACCGAAAAAGAGAGGAAAAAATAGTAAGAAATAATTACAGATATTTACACCTAGATTATTTCTCTGAATAGCTAGATATATATATAGTAATATTGACTAAATTAATATTGTACAGATTTCAACCAAATCAAGGAGATTTGGTAAATTAATCAGAAAGATTATTTCCTGATTTCTGTGAATCATGTCAGGATTCTCAACACTCCGCCTCAAGCTGGACTAAAAATATCTTCCATGTCCAGCTTGCTAATCAACTCCTCAAACTGTCGTCTGGGTAGCCCTTTTGTAAAAAAACTGCAATATGTTCAGTAGTTGGTACATAAGGCATACATGTTAGTCCATCTTCTATTTTCTCCTTTATAAAGTGCTTATCAATTTCAACATGCTTCGTTCTGTCATGGAGCATAGGATTATGAGCAATAAATATAGCAGACTTGTTGTCACAATATAGTCTCATTGGTAGAGCACTAATTATCTTTAGATCCTTTAAGAATCATTTAATCCATAGAATCTCACAAATCCCAAGTGCAGCAGCTCTAAACTCAGCTTCTGCACTACTCCAAGCCACCGCATTTTGTTTTTTGCTCCTCCACACGACTAAGTTTCCTCCAATAAATGCACGATATCCAGATGTTGAGCGTCTATCCATAATGCTACCAGCCCAATCTGCATCTGTATAAATCTCCACTTGTAGATGACCATTATTTCTGAATAGCAAGCCCTTTCCTGGTGTGCCCTTTAGGTATCTAAGAATCCTGTATACAGCTTCAAAGTGCTCAAGTCCTGGTGAGTGCATAAATTGACTGACAACACTTACAGCAAAAGTGATATCTGGCCTTGTGTGAGAGAGATAGATTAATTTGCCCACCAGCCGCTGGTACCGTTCTTGGTCAACAACATCCTCAGGTTTAGCAGGTTGTAGCTTCAGATTTGGCTCTATAAGAGTCTTAGCTGCCTTGCATCCTAGCAAACTTGTTTCATTAAGAAGTTCAAGTGTATATTTGTGTTGTGAAACCGAGATACCATTTCTCGACCTTGCAAATTCCATCCCTAGGAAGTACTTGAGTGTGCCCAGGTCTTTAATTTCAAATTCTTTTGCCAAGAAGCCCTTTAGTTTGGTAAGTTCAACATTATCATCACCTGTCAGGATTATGTCATCTACATAAACAATTAGTATAGCTAGTTTCCCCTCTTTTGTGTGTTTATGAAATAAGGTATAGTCAGCTTGGCCTTGTTCATAGCCCTGTCTTTTTACAGCCTTGGTAAACCTCTCAAACCATGCACGAGGGGACTGTTTAAGGCCATATAAAGATTTCTTCAACCTACACACTTTATTCTTCCCTAACTTTTCTTCGAATCCAGGCGGTAAATCCATAAAGACTTTCTTTTCCAAGTTTCCATTCAAAAAAGCATTTTTAATATCTAACTGATGTAATGGCCAATTAAAGTGAACAGCAAGAGATAGAAGAATTCTGACAGAATTTATCTTGGCTACTAGGGCAAATGTTTCTTGATAGTCTATCCCATAAGTTTGCGTAAACCCCTTTGCCACTAAGCATGCATTATACCTCTCTGCTTGACCATTAGCATTACATTTAATTGTGAATACCCATTTGCACCCAACAGTTTTCTTCCCACTAGGTAGTTTGAAACTTCCCAGGTTTTATTTTTTAGGAGGGCATTCATCTCTTCAAAAACTGCTTATTTCCAATCAGGATGTTCTAGAGCTTCCTTAATTGTCCTAGGCACAAACTGTTTAGATAAATTGGATACAAAGGCTTTATGTTGGCTGGACAACCTATGATAGGATAAATATTTGGCAATTGGATGCTTAGTACATTTTCGGACACCTTTTCTAAGAGCTATTGGGAGGTAAAGATCTGGATATTCATCAAGAATAGTAGGTAGAGGGTCTGAAACAGTACCTGGAGTTTCTTCAGGAGTAGAATTTGAGGATAATGATTGATCAAGTGCTACTGAAGTAGGCTAGACTCTATTGTTCGAATGATACCTGTTCTTTGAATAAACATGTAACTCTGCAAGTTGCTCAAGTAGTGGGGGTTCCACCTCTGTTTGTGATGAAACAATACCTTGGTCTGAATTCTCAGAGTTGGAAGTATTCATAGGATTCACAACCTCTGAAGAAACTTCAGGAAATATAGTATTAGGTAATGGAATAGAAGTCTGCCAAAAATGATCTTCACTTTTACTCTCCCCCTGAAGGTCATTTGGTATGAAAAAGGGTTTTTCTAGGAACACAACATCCATACTAAAATATATCTTCCCTGTTTTGGGATTAAGGCACTTATACCCTCTTTTATTTGGTGCATACCCCGAGAATACACATCTCTCTGCTCTAGGGTCAAGCTTCGATCTAAGATGGGTTGGAATGTGGACAAAAACAGTACATCCAAAGGTTTTTAAATCCATCATGGTCATATTTCTAAGATGAGGGAAATTTTTTTTAAGAAACTTAAGAGGTGTACTATTTATTAGATAACATGCTGTTAAAATAGCATCACCCCATAATTTCTTAGGTATATTCATAGTAAACATAATGGCACGGGTAACCTCAAGTAAATGTCCATTTTTTCTTTTTGCGATCTCATTTTGTTGAGGGGTATCGCGACAAGTTGATTGATGTTCAATTCCCTTTTCCTTAAAAATTTTTTCTAGGTATTCATTAAAGTATTCCGTACCATTATCAATACGCAAAATACTTATCTTAGTTTGAAATTGATTTTCCACCATTTTATAGAAATTCATCAAACAATTTCTTGACCTCAGATTTTTCACTCATTAGATATACCCAACTTAGTCTAGTGTGGTCATCTATAAAGGTAAGAAACCATTTTCTCCCAGAAAGAGTAGTAATTTTTGAAGGACCCCACACATCGTTATGAATTAAATAGAAGGGTTTAGAAGCATGATAAGATTTTGACTTATAAGGAATTCTATGGCTTTTTGATACTTGACAACTTTCACAAAATAAGATATTACAATCAACATTGTGAAAAAGTTTTGGAAATAGATGTTTCATATATGGAAAACTAGGATGTCCTATTCTTTGATGTCATAGCATTATTTGATCAAAAACAGAAGGAAAACTACTAACATTACTTAAGCTAAAAGCTTGTTTATTCTTAGTGAGATTGTCATTGAAGTAATATAGTCCATCCACCATTTTAGCATTGCCAATCATCGTCCCCAAATTCTGGTCCTGAAATTCACAATGTGAGTCAAAGAAGGTGACAAGACAATTAGAATCTTTAGAAAGCTTACTAACAAAAAGCAAATTGCAAGATAATCTTGGAACATGTTGGACAGATTTTAGTTAAAATGGTGTTGGAGAGTTTAATTGAGTCTTTGCCAACAATGGGTGGAAGGCTTCCATCAGCAATCTTTACCTTTTGATTTCCAGAACATGGTATATAAGAGTCAAAGAGCTGATTGACACTAGTCATGTGATCAGAAGCTCCTGAATCTATGATCCAAGGAACTAGAGTAAGTTTACAAGAAAAGGTACTAGGAATATCACCTGTTTGTGCTAAGGACACGCTGGAAACACTAGGTGGCTAGCTGGAATTCAGCAATTTAAGAAGCCGATCAACTTGCTCATTGGTAAAAATTTGGTCAACCTTCTCGGCTTCATTGGTCGATGGGACTCCACGACCACGTTTTTCACTGTTTCTTGTGCTCTTCCAATCTGCAGGTTTTCCATTGAGTTCCCAACAGTTTTCTCGGGTATGGCGTGGTTTTTTACAATAGTCACACCACACCTGAGGACGATCATGGTTCTGCTCTTGAGTCTTGACACGTGCAACATTGGTATTTGCAACAATAAGGGCCGAGTTTTCAACAGTTCTAGCAGTCCCTTTTTTCCCCAACATGACTCCTCGACGACTCTCTTCACGTCGGACCCTCTGAGAAGACTTTTCTAATAAATGGCAGTGGCTGTCTGCCAATAATTCTATCCCCTACTTCATCAAACTCCATGTTCAGGCCAGTAAGGAATTTGTAGATCCAAGAATTCTCCACCATCTTGTTGTAATGGACTTGATCTTCAGTATTTTTCCACTCTTAGGTGTTAAACAGATCCAGATGTCCTTTAAGAATGTTGAAGTACTTGGTCACACCTTCACTTCCCTGTTGGATTTCTCCAAGCTTCAATTCGATCTCATAGCATTGGGACTGATTCTCAAAATCAGAGTACATTTGATTAACATTATCCCATAGCTTCTTCACGGTTGGATAACACATATAGTTTGCACTAATATCCTCCTCCATGGCATTGACAATCCATGCCATAATCATTGAGTTTTATGCATCCCAAGTTGCATAGGAGGGGTCAGATTTCTCGGGTGCCTTGGTTTCTTCTGTTAGGTACCAAATCTTCCCCCTACCTCTGATATACATGCGCACAGATTGAGACCACCTAAAAAGTTTTTTTTATTCAACCTAATGCTGGTGATCTGGATAGAGTGTGCGTCAATAGGCTTGGCAATGATAACAGATGTGGTTATCGGAGTGGAATCGGAGGAAATTTCTGACATATTGACAAATGAGAAGGAAGGCTACTAAAGACAAAGATTTAGAGGCTAGGGTTTACAAGGTAAGAGCAACCTGGCTCTGATACCATAAAAGCCTCGGAAAAAATGAATCAAAGTTGTAAGATTTATTCATAAAATAGACTGTACAACCTCTGGTCTTTATAGGACCGAAAAAGAGAGGAAAAAATAGTAAGAAATAACTACATATATTTACACCTAGAATATTTCCCTATATATATATAAATATTGACTAAATTAATATTATACAGATCTCAACCAAATCAAGGAGATTTGGTCAATTAATCAAAAAGATTATTTCCTGATTTCTGTGAATTATGTCAGGATTTTCAACACAACTAAACAATTTTTAAGCCATTGGATTATCATGAATTAATGGTCATGAATTTGTNTCCAAATGGAGAAAAGTCATCCATGTGTTAATTGGTTCAAATTTTCATATCCATGGCATGCATGCTTATATTTCTACATATGTTCAGCTTAATCTCGGTTGTAATTTCACCCTATTTTTTTCGATGAAAGTCTCAAGATGTCCCCATACCCGAAGGTGTGCAATGAATTTCCGATCGGATGTCTCCACACTCGAAGGTATGAGACTAATTCCCAGTCGGGGCTCAGATAAACGCCCCTAATCACAGGTTGCTTCCAGTGAGATTCGAACCCTTGACATTACAGGTAAAGTTTATCATTCCATCCTTGAATTTTGATCCAACAGATGTGTAATTCATTTTTAATTATGTCTAAGTAAGAAGAAAACACCATCAATATTTAAATTTTATTGAGGATCAATCATGGTTCTGCAAAAGTAATGTCGAAGAGCCTTCGGGGTTGGGGATGCGGCAAGCTTTCAATGTGAAGTATCTTTGAGATTTTCCAGCAGTTTTAATTCTCGATCCTCAGCAATTACAGGAATTTTTTTTGGATTTAGGGTTTAGTGGATCCCATAAATAATTTCCTGTACGTCTATTATCTTTTCAACTGGTTAACCACCCAAATACAAATGCAAATATTTCGATTTTACCAGTTGATTTAAAAATTAAAATTAAGGCAAATTCTTCCTGTAAGATTATGAAAATATCAATATTAACATGTTATATGAACATACGATGACTGTATTCTTAAGTAATTTAGTACAGTAAACTGTAAACAACTTCTCCACGTATATGTAGGGGTTTTCTGCAAGTCTTTTAATGGATTTAAGTAATCAGAAAAAGATGAACTCGCGCTTCATCAGCCGATAGAATACAAAAACTAATGAATTTTCATGCAGAAATGAGAAAAAGCAATAGCAAAGCTAGTCTATCTTCCATTAACTGAGAATTTACACCTTTTTAACATATGGGAATCTGACTATATATTTATGAAGCTGAAGTACATTCATTGCATGAACATTAAATATTAATATTGTTGGTTTAGGCAGGAAGTTGCTACTGCTGCAGCTAAAGCTATGGTGAAGTTTGGATCTTTAGTTATGGATGCCACGGATTCTTCAATCTTCGTCTTCTTGTTGCTAACAATATCTTGCTTTGTAAAGTTGTGAGATGATGGTCTTTTATTTTGTTGAGTATCTGAACCAGAAAGAGTAAGATCAAGAGTGACAGCTGATCCGTAAGGATTTGATTTTGGTGTTGGAGTTGGTAGTGGAGAATGAAAAATGCTCATTGAGCTCTCGGCGGCTGAGCTTTCGGCGGATAAAGAGAAAGATTTACCAAATGAAGATTGAGCTTCATGGTTGTGTTCTCCTTCGTAAGTTGCTACAAGAATTGACTCGTCCTCCCTGCATCGCTGAACCTATATATATATAAATGAAATATATATATTCATTTAAACTAGCTAGAAGTATAAAAGTTTAAGCTTTTGAGTTAAAGAGATCTGTACCTTCTTTTTCACAGAACATCCAGAAGAAGCCATGGAACACCTGAAATAAGCTCGAGGGGAAGGATTATCTTTAGTAACCTTCTGGCCATATTTCCTCCATTGATATCCATCTTTAACAACCTAAAATCGAAAAAGGAATGACAAAAACTTGTTATATAATATAAGAACTTTTAACTTTTAACCATTTAAAATGATAATATAATTAACAGACTTATCAAATTACCAGGCTATTGTCCTTAGAGTCGGATTTGACAAAGATTGTTGATGATTTATTGCCTTCTGTTCTTATATTATTTCCCTTTTCATAACTTGCCCTATAGCTAGTTTGATGGATATGAGTTTGAAGGGCTTTGCATTTATTAGTCATGGCTTCCACCATAAATCTCAGACGATCATTCTCTTTCCGAACACCCTCCAACTTCGCTTGAAGCACATCCATCTGAAAGAAACCGAAACACGAGAAATACAAAAGGTAAAAACCAAGACTCATTTTGTATACTGTATGTCGCTTAGTAGAAACAAAGAAGAGGAGCCCTTTTTACCTTTGCTTCATCCATGTTCGGAAGCTAAACCTGACAAGAATATTACTGTTAAAACGAAAGAAAATATCAAAATAGAAGATGGGGAAGCTGGTACTTATTTAAATATATAACGAAGAAAAACAAAATATTAATTAAAGACTAAATTACGTAGAGTAGTTGGCAGTTGAAGACCGTTCAGTTTACGCCGCCTCCGCAATTTAAGAACAAGAAGACCAGAAGTTGGTGATGATGGCTGCTGTTTTGATTTGTAATTTGGGTGAGAGAGAAGAAGAGAAATTAATTGGTGTTGGAAATTAGCAGGAAAGTCACTGGAATCAAATCCATACCTGCTGGTGGTATTTAAAAAAGAAAAGACCTATGAATCACGTACAGAATTCTAGTGGGAAGATACGTAAGCAATCTGACATCACCACACATGAAGTAAGCTTTTGTTTGTTTACATGGGCAACGTGTTTGAGGGTGCATGCCAGACTGCTGAGTCCAAAACGTATTCTTATTTACCACCGCACAATTTCTTGTTGGCCCGAGGGCAAACTAGGAGTGAAAATCGAGTCGAGCGGCTCAAGCTCGGCTTGAACATTCTAGTTGAGTTTAACCAAAGTAAAACTCGAATTCAATTGAAGTTAGTATTCTCAAATTCGAATAAAAATCGATTATACGAACTCGAATTCGAACTTCAGTTTCAATTGCAAGTACTGATTTCAAGTTTGAACTCGATTTCTCGAATTCAAACTCGATACTATAGCGGTCAAGTCAGTTTTGATTAACTAGATACTCGACTCGATTTCACGCCTAAGTTAAGCAATGCATAATCTCCAGAATTTAGCTTTAACAAAGGGATAATTAAGTTGTAAAACTCCAGTTACTTGAGTATTTTTCAGGTTGTGTTAACTTAAACGAGCTGTATATATTTGAATAAGTAGATGTCGTGACAGTGTTAAATACTGTTATAGAGATGGGTTAAAGGAGTCCTCCATCATAATAGATCAGAACAAAGTATAACTGACAAAAAAAAGATGAAAAATTCAACAAATACTTTTCTTTATTCCTATTAATTCCAGTTTTTTAAATCTAGTAGATGATATGACAATGTGGATACATACACCGCACTTTTTGAATTACATTTTCTCACTTATTTTCTAAAAGGATTTTTCATGTGTTATAGACATGGCCGTAGCCAGATTATAGTCAGTAGGGTCACTTGACCCCATTGAAATTCTGAAATTATTAAAAATAGGTATATATTTTTATACTAATTAATAATTTTGATCCCACTAAATTTTTATATTAACTCTGCTAAAATTATCTATATTTTATTAACGAGTAATGCTACGGCCACCAGCGGTAGTGCATCGAATGACGTGACAAAATCTTGATCGTTTATTAATATTAAGTTAAAATTAATCAACTGTCAGGATTTTGTCACGTCATTGGTGCATAAATTAGGTGTATTACAGTCGATGGCTGTATTATTTTCCTTTATTAACCCTACTAAAATATTTTCATATTTCATTGATCCTGGGATTCAAAAATACCCATGTTTTTTTTTTTCTAGTGTTTTCTTTTTCAGTTCTTCTCTTCTTTCCTCATATTTTCTTCATCCTTCGGTTGGATTAATTAAGAAAAATTATTCATTTAAAGATGACAAAATAGGATGATGTTAAATGAGTAATATGTAATTAATATAATTACAACCAATAAGATGATTTTGTTTTGATGTCCATTATGTTTCAAACAATGGATTAACGAGGAGACTTTTGAGTAGATGTTACTTAAATTCAGGGTTAAGTAAGAAAATAATGGACTACTGAGTCATTAAAGAGCAAAAACAAAAGACTTTCAACAGAAAATGAAAATAAGTCTAACACGTGGTCTCAATTTTATAAATAAATGAAGAAATTAGCGATATTATTGTCTTCTTCGACGGCTATACTAGAAGAAGAAGAAGAACAGCACCCCAGAAATCTTAAACACGACTGACTGAATCTTGTACTTGTCATTTATTCAATGCGGTCCCTTCAGCAACTAATACAAACATTCTAGTTAGTCCATGCAGTCTCAGTCTACGCAGCCTCACTCAGTCTTACTCTTTAAGTTTAATCTTTTCTTGACCTACCAGGCTACCAATAAACTTATTTAACTTCTTAATTAACCCCATAATAACCACCCACGTAATTACATTTTCGGCTTTTAAGGGCATTCTTGTTGGGACATTTGAACATTTTTGTACTATCCTAATTAGTATCGAGGGGGATAGAAGACACTACACGTTAGTTAAAAGATGGTTAGCGAAAGGGTGCAGTCAAAGTAAACTCAGTAGGGTCAAATGGTCCCACTGAATTTATTAAAAACAGGGACATAGTTTATTACATGTTATCAAATCGTGTATCATATCATGTATTAAAAATTTAATTTTTTAAATCGTGTATTGTGTATCGTATCGTATCGTATCGTAAAATATATATTTTTTAAAAAAATTAATAAAATAATCAAAATTTTCCAAAAATTAATATCATCCTCAAGATTAATTAAATAATTTTATGGTATTATTGGCTTTAAATTACGGTATTACATAATCAAAATTAATTACAAAATTCCAAGATCAATGTTAATATCTAGATCTCCACTTATATTATTATTATCATGTAAAATGGGCATTACATATTTTTCTTCACTTTCTCTATGTAAAATGGATAAATTTGGACAGATTTTAGTGAATCGGGTTGGGTGATCCGGTTTCGACCTGAATTTTTTTTTGGACCTTTGGCCCAAATTAATAAAGTCGTATCGATTTATATCGATATTTTTAAGGATATAAACGGATACGTATCGTATCATAGGATACATATCAATGTATTGAAAAGTTTAGGATACACTATCTGATACGTATTGTTAGCGATCTGTATCGAATCATATCGTAGGATACTAACAACTATGATTTATAGTAATTAACAATTTTGATTGACGAATGATCATGAGATATACTGAAATAATTATATAATATCTTTCAAAATATGAAAAATCGCCGATGATAATTATAGAATTGATGATTTGGTATATATAATTTTTTAAAATTAAATTTGTTTATACTTATTACTTTAATATATATTTTATTATAAATTAATCAGTTTAGATCTTATGACCATTTTAACTAGAAATTCTCCCTAATTATCGGGCAATTGTTAATTTTGATTATATATTTATTAATTTGCCATTATTATTATTAATTTGCTACTATTCAATGAAAAAGAAAAGAGTTAAAAGTTTAGATGGCGGGCGTACGGCAGCCAAGAAGTCACGGGTTCACATTGATGTCAGATAAAGGCTGATAATGAAGACATGAAATCAAGCACACCACGAGGTTGATTGATTGAATAAGTAGTGATGGATCAAAGACAGCAACTGGCCCAAAAACCAGATGCTCAATTTAATGGTTTAAGAAAATGGGATTTGTCTTTGTCCAAATCCCACCCACTCTTGGTCCCAAATCTGAACCATTTGTCTCTACTCTTTAATATTTTTGGAGACTTTATATGAATTCGTCATTTACTTTTTCACCATTTACGTAACAGTTTATTGTCTATTGGTTCTCTCTTTTTATATCATCAATCAATTTAATGTTCATAGTTTGTAGCTTTTGTCTGCACATGGTAAATGTGAATGCAAGAATCTTGTTCATTTTAAGGTTTATGATTGTACTTGATTAGAGTAATGGGAAGACGTGTGAGAAATTTAGTTTTCCTTGATGTTGACCTTGCTACTTCACATGTGAAGTACGTGAATCTTGATATACCATAATTGAATGTAAGATCTCATGTCGATGTAAGGATTTATATCAACTGAAGGTATGTGGTTGACAGTGTTAGAACCACGTAAAGTGTGTGTGCAATCCTAATGGATCAATGATGGGGTAATACAATGATGATCGTGCAATAGTAGACATAGAAGATTAAAGAGCAGAACATACTTTTTAAAATGGTTCGATTGTTTATAATACAAAACTTATGTCCACTGTTATGTTATTGAGTGTATGATATCAGCAATCTGATTTACAAAAAGTTATCTGGTTGATTTTCTCTTTTTCTTTCTCTTGAATCCCTCGAAATGTGGTTTATATAGTGTCAGTTATAAAGTTGAGTTGGAAATGAATTCAAATTCGATTAAATTGGAAGTCGCATGATCTTCGGTCTTGACTATGATATCCATATCGCGAGATATTTGCATGCCAACTGAAGTTTATCCACTCTGAATTTCCCGCACAACACCGATTAATTGAATATGTTCTAATATTAATTTTAAAAGTTTAAATAAATAAACTTTTTTCAAATAATAGATTTCAAAACGCTTAAGTACTCTAAAAACATATTTCTTGCCGTGATTCTTTTGTGCTAAAAATTGCAACAATAGTAGACTATTAATTAGTATATATACATATGTATATATAAACTCTTAGACATTTAGGAAGAATAAGATGGTGCTAGTTTTAATTGACCAAGGTAATAAAGGAACAAGGTAGTATGCAACTAAGTAACGAATTATGTAAGATCCTTTATTATTAAAAAAAAAAAAAAACTGTTT